TCCCCCACCTGGAGGACACTCTACTATCCCCCACCTGGAGGACACTCTACTATCCCCCACCTGGAGGACACTCTACTATCCCCCACCTGGAGGACACTCTACTATCCCCCACCTGGAGGACACTCTACTATCCCCCACCTGGAGGACACTCTACTATCCCCCACCTGGAGGACACTCTACTATCCCCCACCTGGAGGACACTCTACTATCCCCCACCTGGAGGACACTCTACTATCCCCCACCTGGAGGACACTCTACTATCCCCCACCTGGAGGACACTCTACTATCCCCCACCTGGAGGACACTCTACTATCCCCCACCTGGAGGACACTCTACTATCCCCCACCTGGAGGACACTCTACTATCCCCCACCTGGAGGACACTCTACTATCCCCCACCTGGAGGACACTCTACTATCCCCCACCTGGAGGACACTCTACTATCCCCCACCTGGAGGACACTCTACTATCCCCCACCTGGAGGACACTCTACTATCCCCCACCTGGAGGACACTCTACTATCCCCCACCTGGAGGACACTCTACTATCCCCCACCTGGAGGACACTCTACTATCCCCCACCTGGAGGACACTCTACTATCCCCCACCTGGAGGACACTCTACTATCCCCCACCTGGAGGACACTCTACTATCCCCCACCTGGAGGACACTCTACTATCCCCCACCTGGAGGACACTCTACTATCCCCCACCTGGAGGACACTCTACTATCCCCCACCTGGAGGACACTCTACTATCCCCCACCTGGAGGACACTCTACTATCCCCCACCTGGAGGACACTCTACTATCCCCCACCTGGAGGACACTCTACTATCCCCCACCTGGAGGACACTCTACTATCCCCCACCTGGAGGACACTCTACTATCCCCCACCTGGAGGACACTCTACTATCCCCCACCTGGAGGACACTCTACTATCCCCCACCTGGAGGACACTCTACTATCCCCCACCTGGAGGACACTCTACTATCCCCCACCTGGAGGACACTCTACTATCCCCCACCTGGAGGACACTCTACTATCCCCCACCTGGAGGACACTCTACTATCCCCCACCTGGAGGACACTCTACTATCCCCCACCTGGAGGACACTCTACTATCCCCCACCTGGAGGACACTCTACTATCCCCCACCTGGAGGACACTCTACTATCCCCCACCTGGAGGACACTCTACTATCCCCCACCTGGAGGACACTCTACTATCCCCCACCTGGAGGACACTCTACTATCCCCCACCTGGAGGACACTCTACTATCCCCCACCTGGAGGACACTCTACTATCCCCCACCTGGAGGACACTCTACTATCCCCCACCTGGAGGACACTCTACTATCCCCCACCTGGAGGACACTCTACTATCCCCCACCTGGAGGACACTCTACTATCCCCCACCTGGAGGACACTCTACTATCCCCCACCTGGAGGACACTCGACTACTATCCCCCACCTGGAGGACACTCTACTATCCCCCACCTGGAGGACACTCTACTATCCCCCACCTGGAGGACACTCTACTATCCCCCACCTGGAGGACACTCTACTACTATCCCCCCCACCTGGAGGACACTCTACTATCCCCCACCTGGAGGACACTCTACTATCCCCCACCTGGAGGACACTCTACTATCCCCCACCTGGAGGACACTCTACTATCCCCCACCTGGAGGACACTCTACTATCCCCCACCTGGAGGACACTCTACTATCCCCCACCTGGAGGACACTCTACTATCCCCCACCTGGAGGACACTCTACTATCCCCCACCTGGAGGACACTCTACTATCCCCCACCTGGAGGACACTCTACTATCCCCCACCTGGAGGACACTCTACTATCCCCCACCTGGAGGACACTCTACTATCCCCCACCTGGAGGACACTCTACTATCCCCCACCTGGAGGACACTCTACTATCCCCCACCTGGAGGACACTCTACTATCCCCCACCTGGAGGACACTCTACTATCCCCCACCTGGAGGACACTCTACTATCCCCCACCTGGAGGACACTCTACTATCCCCCACCTGGAGGACACTCTACTATCCCCCACCTGGAGGACACTCTACTATCCCCCACCTGGAGGACACTCTACTATCCCCCACCTGGAGGACACTCTACTATCCCCCACCTGGAGGACACTCTACTATCCCCCACCTGGAGGACACTCTACTATCCCCCACCTGGAGGACACTCTACTATCCCCCACCTGGAGGACACTCTACTATCCCCCACCTGGAGGACACTCTACTATCCCCCACCTGGAGGACACTCTACTATCCCCCACCTGGAGGACACTCTACTATCCCCCACCTGGAGGACACTCTACTATCCCCCACCTGGAGGACACTCTACTATCCCCCACCTGGAGGACACTACTATCCCCCACACCTGGAGGACACTCTACTATCCCCCACCTGGAGGACACTCTACTATCCCCCACCTGGAGGACACTCTACTATCCCCCACCTGGAGGACACTCTACTATCCCCCACCTGGAGGACACTCTACTATCCCCCACCTGGAGGACACTCTACTATCCCCCACCTGGAGGACACTCTACTATCCCCCACCTGGAGGACACTCTACTATCCCCCACCTGGAGGACACTCTACTATCCCCCACCTGGAGGACACTCTACTATCCCCCACCTGGAGGACACTCTACTATCCCCCACCTGGAGGACACTCTACCCCCACCTGGAGGACACTCCTATCCCACCTGGAGGACACTCTACTATCCCCCACCTGGAGGACACTCTACTATCCCCCACCTGGAGGACACTCTACTATCCCCCACCTGGAGGACACTCTACTATCCCCCACCTGGAGGACACTCTACTATCCCCCACCTGGAGGACACTCTACTATCCCCCACCTGGAGGACACTCTACTATCCCCCACCTGGAGGACACTCTACTATCCCCCACCTGGAGGACACTCTACTATCCCCCAGGACCTCTACTATCCCCCACCTGGAGGACACTCTACTATCCCCCACCTGGAGGACACTCTACTATCCCCCCCACCTGGAGGACACTCTACTATCCCCCACCTGGAGGACACTCTACTATCCCCCACCTGGAGGACACTCTACTATCCCCCACCTGGAGGACACTCTACTATCCCCCACCTGGAGGACACTCTACTATCCCCCACCTGGAGGACACTCTACTATCCCCCACCTGGAGGACACTCTACTATCCCCCACCTGGAGGACACTCTACTATCCCCCACCTGGAGGACACTCTACTATCCCCCACCTGGAGGACACTCTACTATCCCCCCACCTGGAGGACACTCTACTATCCCCCACCTGGAGGACACTCTACTATCCCCCACCTGGAGGACACTCTACTATCCCCCACCTGGAGGACACTCTACTATCCCCCACCTGGAGGACACTCTACTATCCCCCACCTGGAGGACACTCTACTATCCCCCACCTGGAGGACACTCTACTATCCCCCCACTGGTCGTAAATATTAATTTCCCCCACCTGGAGGACACTCTACTATCCCCCACCTGGAGGACACTCTACTATCCCCCACCTGGAGGACACTCTACTATCCCCCACCTGGAGGACACTCTACTATCCCCCACCTGGAGGACACTCTACTATCCCCCACCTGGAGGACACTCTACTATCCCCCACCTGGAGGACACTCTACTATCCCCCACCTGGAGGACACTCTACTATCCCCCACCTGGAGGACACTCTACTATCCCCCACCTGGAGGACACTCTACTATCCCCCACCTGGAGGACACTCTACTATCCCCCACCTGGAGGACACTCTACTATCCCCCACCTGGAGGACACTCTACTATCCCCCACCTGGAGGACACTCTACTATCCCCCACCTGGAGGACACTCTACTATCCCCCACCTGGAGGACACTCTACTATCCCCCACCTGGAGGACACTCTACTATCCCCCACCTGGAGGACACTCTACTATCCCCCACCTGGAGGACACTCTACTATCCCCCACCTGGAGGACACTCTACTATCCCCCACCTGGAGGACACTCTACTATCCCCCACCTGGAGGACACTCTACTATCCCCCACCTGGAGGACACTCTACTATCCCCCACCTGGAGGACACTCTACTATCCCCCACCTGGAGGACACTCTACTATCCCCCACCTGGAGGACACTCTACTATCCCCCACCTGGAGGACACTCTACTATCCCCCACCTGGAGGACACTCTACTATCCCCCACCTGGAGGACACTCTACTATCCCCCACCTGGAGGACACTCTACTATCCCCCACCTGGAGGACACTCTACTATCCCCCACCTGGAGGACACTCTACTATCCCCCACCTGGAGGACACTCTGGAGGACACTCTACTATCCCCCACCTGGAGGACACTCTACTATCCCCCACCTGGAGGACACTCTACTATCCCCCACCTGGAGGACACTCTACTATCCCCCACCTGGAGGACACTCTACTATCCCCCACCTGGAGGACACTCTACTATCCCCCACCTGGAGGACACTCTACTATCCCCCACCTGGAGGACACTCTACTATCCCCCACCTGGAGGACACTCTACTATCCCCCACCTGGAGGACACTCTACTATCCCCCACCTGGAGGACACTCTACTATCCCCCACCTGGAGGACACTCTACTATCCCCCACCTGGAGGACACTCTACTATCCCCCACCTGGAGGACACTCTACTATCCCCCACCTGGAGGACACTCTACTATCCCCCACCTGGAGGACACTCTACTATCCCCCACCTGGAGGACACTCTACTATCCCCCACCTGGAGGACACTCTACTATCCCCCACCTGGAGGACACTCTACTATCCCCCACCTGGAGGACACTCTACTATCCCCCACCTGGAGGACACTCTACTATCCCCCACCTGGAGGACACTCTACTATCCCCCACCTGGAGGACACTCACCCCCCACCTGGAGGACACTCACCCACCACCTGGAGGACACTCTACTGGAGGACACTCCTTGAGGTGGTAGGGTAGACGGTGTGGCCCTCGTGGCTGAGGCCCACCCGAGGGTTCCTGGTGATCACTGACGTGTGGATGGTCAAGATGGTCTGCGTCTCCACCTGCACCCACGCCACCTGCACCGGGTGAAGCAGTGGCTCATCAGAGAGAGAGAGAGAGAGAGAGAGAGAGAGAGAGAGAGAGAGAGAGAGAGAGAGAGAGAGAGAGAGAGAGAGAGACCGTATACCAGTGGGAACTGAAGGTCTGTTCCCTATGTTAATGTCCAAGAGGATGCAGTGGTTTATTTGACTAAGCTAAACTTGACATTCTTTACTACCCAAATACTATCGTGTTACCTGGCAACCTCTTTCAAGAAATCATCTTAGGTGAGCCAGTTTGTATCCACTGATTCGTATTTTCATGGTGATATATGGATATATCCATCACCATTTTCGTATCCACTTTGTTATGCCTTTTCATCCATTTATATACTACAGATCCTTGCTCTTCGCCTTTCAAAAGAATGTTAGTTAGACTTTCATGATCTGAGGAACGGAACTGCGGGCCGGGGGGACGGAGCTGCGGGCCGGGGGGACGGAACTGCGGGCCGGGGGGACGGAACTGCTGGCCGGGGGGACGGAACTGTGGGCCGGGGGGGGGGGGGGACGGAACTGCGGGCCGGGGGGACGGAACTGTGGGCCGGGGGGGCGGAACTGCGGGCCGGGGGGACGGAACTGCGGGCCGGGGGACGGAACTGTGGGCCGGGGGGACGGAACTGTGGGCCGGGGGGGGACGGAACTGTGGGCCGGGGGGGGGGACGGAACTGCGGGCCGGGGAGGACGGAACTGCTGGCCGGGGGGACGGAACTGCTGGCTGGGGGACGGAACTGCGGGCCGGGGGACGGAACTGCTGGCCGGGGGGGACGGAACTGCGGGCCGGGGGGACGGAACTGCGGGCCGGGGGACGGAACTGTGGGCCGGGGGGACGGAACTGCTGGCCGGGGGGGACGGAACTGCGGGCCGGGGGACGGAACTGTGGGCCGGGGGGACGGAACTGCGGGCCGGGGGGACGGAACTGAGGGCCGGGGGGACGGAACTGCTGGCCGGGGGGACGGAACTGGGGGCCGGGGGGACGGAACTGCGGGCCGGGGAGACGGAACTGTGGGCCGGGGGGACGGAACTGCTGGCCGGGGGGGACGGAACTGCGGGCCGGGGGGACGGAACTGTGGGCCGGGGGACGGAACTGCGGGCCGGGGGGACGGAACTGTGGGCCAGGGGGACGGAACTGCTGGCCGGGGGGACGGAACTGTGGGCCGGGGGGGACGGAACTGTGGGCCGGGGGGACGGAACTGCGGGCCGGGAGACGGAACTGTGGGCCGGGGGACGGAACTGCGAGCCGGGGAGACGGAACTGCGGGCCGGTGGGACGGAACTGCTGGCCGGGGGGACGGAACTGCTGGCCGGGGGGGACGGAACTGCGGGCCAGGGGACGGAACTGCGGGCCGGGG